CATTCAGTACAGTATTGGCCATTGGCTTGTTGTGTAGAGCCTTTATTATTTTGAGGTATATCCATCTATTCTCATGTCTCCAGGACTTTCATCATGAAAGTTGGTTAAACTTTGTCCAGTGCCTTTTCTGTATCCGTTGTGATGACTGTGTGGTAACTGTTCTAACTTTATAGATTGTATTACATTTATTGATTGCCTGTGTTGAACCAACCATGAATTTCAGGGAGAAATCTACTTGGTCATGATATAGGATCATTTTAATGTATTCCTGAATTCATTTTGTAAATATTTTGTTGAGAATCTTTGCATTGCTGTTCTCCAGGGAAATGGATCTGTGGTTTTTTGTTTTTGTTCTCTTTATTTGGCTTTGGTTTGGGGATGGTACTGGTTTTGTGAAATTAATTTGAAAGTGTTCCTTCCCTTTATATTTTGTGCAACAAACCAAGGAGTATTGGTATTACGGTTTTATTATCACCAAATTAGTTCAAATTTTGTTTCTGTCTTTGTGTACTTGCTGCTTAACCTTCTTACCCTGATGACTTGAAGGATAACTTGGAGAGTAAATGAGAATATGAATGTGAAGTCTCTTAGCAAGGATCCAGCAATATAAATGTTGCTTCACTTTTTTCATCTAGTAAATGTTAGAGTGCCCCCTTTCCATCCATAATTATTTTCCATTAACTTCTAGAGTGTTTCTTAGGTCTATTAGCTCATTATTCTACTTTGAAAATGTCTTCACTTAGTTCTAGTTTAAAGGTAATTAAATTTTCAATTAATACATTTGAGACATCTGAAGGATTTTAGGCCTTTAAGATTTCCTTTGAAGAGCAATGTCATTGTTAGGACACATCACATGGGAGGGCCAGCAAATTGTGTCTGTGTGAAGGCTTTCTTACATAAAAGCCTTTGCTGCATCTGGTAATACTCGATGTGTAGCTTATACGTTTGGGTTGTATTCTTAAATCCCGAGACTTAAGTCTTGTGTAGTGACTGCCTGCATTATACTGGTTGCTTTGTAAAACACTATTTTGGATATAGACCACATCCCCACGCCCCTCTTTTGAGTTTGTTTAATGTTGAGGTCTCACGTTCCTGGACAGATTAAAGGCTGACACAGAGGAAAGACCCATTTGCAAGTGGATGGTTGAAAGTTCATCCATAGTGTTTGGTAGTCATCATTTGACTTCATATCTATGAAAGCTTATTTACGGGATTAGAATATGTAAGTGTGTTCTGTATCCTGTACTAAAGAACATAGTGAAGAAGGCAGGCATTTGCTACTGAGGAGGTTGAAGTGCACTGATACATGCCCTAGGAGGAAGACCTAGGGTCATGTCGTCTCTTTGCGTGACTAATAAGAAGGTGTGTGAGGGCTGGAGAGAGGCAAGCTCAGTGGTTAGGGGCTCTGACTGCTTCTCCACAGGAGTTCACACATACATGGCAGTTAACCAGCTGTGACTCCAGACCCTGGGGAACCTATGTCCTCTTTGGGCCTCCAAGGGCACCAGGCTTGCAAATGGAACACAGGCATACTTGGAGGCCACACACCCACACACACATTTTTACAAAGGTCAGTGTGGTTATGTTAGACTAGATCAGCAAGCCATTTTGAAAATTTCATCTCCTAAGGTCACTTTAAAGATACCTATCAGGGAGGAGGGGAATGGATACTGTGGGTCATTTCTTGTGGTCTAGCAACCAACATAGTTTACAGTTACTGGTCAAATTCAGTTTGTGCTGTTCTTATGATTCATTGAAAATCTACAGTGAAAAGAAATTGGGAATTATTGTCCCTGTTATTATGCTTAACCTCTTCCTGATTAAACTTTTTCTTTAGTTTGTTTACAATCCTATTATATGAATCCTAGTAATAGATTACATATTAATAGAATACATAAACACTTACATTCTAAGAAAACATTATAGAATAATTCAGATTATGATGGAGCCATGATAGACTGTTAAAATCTTTACCATAGAACCATGTTCAGTTGGATTAGGTTTTTTGTTGTTTTGAAATAATCTAATGTATGTGAGGCTGGCCTTGAACTGCCGATCTTCCTGGCTCTCCCTTCCAGTTGCTGGTATGCTAGGATTATAGACAGAAGCCAAAACGCTCACTTTCTATCTCTTTTTCTTTTCTTTTTCTCATTTAGTGTTTTGCAGCTCACAATTTTCTCTTCTTCAAATTCTTTAAATTTTAGTTGCTATTTTTTTTATTGATGTTTTAGTTTTAATTTTACTTGTTATTGTTTCGAGACAGGGTCTTGCTGTTCTGTAACTTGATATGTAGATCAGGCTGGTTGCAAACTCACAGATCCACCTGCCTCTGTCTCTCAGTGGCTGGTGTTAAAGGTGTGTGTCACTGTGCATACCCTTCTCCTCTTTTTAGTTTTGAAAAACTGTCTGAGCTGTGTTTTGTAGGCCAGCTTAAATAATAGGCCTAAGTGATCCTCTTGCCTCAGCTTCTTGAGTACTAGAACTATAAGCAATTCCCTGCCCACTGAGCTTGGATTTGTGTTCTGGGGGGTCTTGTGGGTGGGATAAGTTAACCATGTATATGTTGATAATTGAAAATTTCAAAGTTGTAAAGTTTTATCTCTAGTGACAGTCTTTCCTCTGAGCCTAGGTTCTGTACGTTCTTGACAGACAGGTGCATGCACAAGAGCGCGCGGGATATCCATAGGCTGATTACACTCTCAAAGTTATATGTTGGGGGAATAGTATTGAGAACATACAGTTGATACTTTGATCATGCCTACCATAGTGCATTATATAATGCATTATATGTGTGTAGTTTTCCTTACAATGGTTTTGTTAAAGAAGGTTAATAGTAGACTCTTGTCTTTACATATAGAAAAAATATTTAGATTATTAGTACATCAGTTTAATCAGATGTAAATTTCCATAGTAAAATTACACCCAGATAGTTCCATGAAAGAAGAATCAGTTATGCTAGAGATTAATCATAGTATAAAAACATAAAAGTATGAATAAATTAAAATTAGGGACTTAAGGGCTGGAGAGATGACTCTGTGGTTAAGAGCACTGACTGTGCCGGGCGTGGTGGCGCACGCCTTTAATCCCAGCACTTGGGAGGCAGAAGCAGGCGGATCTCTGTGAGTTCAAGGCCAGCCTGGGCTACCAAGTGAGCTCCAGGAAAGGCGCAAAGCTACACAGAGAAACCCTGTCTCGAAAAAACCAAAAAAAAGAAAAAAAAAAAAAAAGCACTGACTGCTCTTCCAGAGGACCTGGGTTCAATTCCCAGCACCCACATTGCAGTTTACAACTGCCTGTATCTCCAGGTCCAGGGATCTGATACTCTCACACAGGCACCGTAGGCAAAATATCAATGCACAAAGAAGATAAAAATAAATTATTTTTTAAAAACGGAAAAAAATTAGGGACTTAAAAGTGGTTCTCTTTCCAAAAGGAGGCTAGTTCTTGGAGAAAAATCATTGATTCCTGGTCCTAGGATGGAAAGCATAATGTGGTGTAAAGTGTGCAGAAGGATGTGCACATATCTGAAGGACACAGGAACCAACTCACCAAATAGGAACTGGCTATATTTGAAGTGATTTAAGCATTAGATTAGATAATATTGGTAAGTGATTATAGTTCAATCTCATAAAATCCACAAGTCCATGCCAGGCATGGCTTTGCATACCTTTAATCCCAGCATTTGGCAGCAGAGGCAGGTGGATCTCTGAGTTCAAGGCTAATTTGGGCTGCAGAGTGAGTTCCAGACCAGCTAGGACATAGTCCTTGCCACATGACCGAAGTAAGCAAGCTGAACAATACAAGACTGTCAGCAGAATAGAATCTGCAGTAATTTAAACCTAATTACAGAGTTAATTTTAATCAGACCTTAGTTTGACATCAGATTCTGTTAAGGCAGGCTACACAGAGGAAGAAGACAGCACAGTTCTGTGACCGTCTTAGAATCTGCTCCCATGGTACTGAACACAATACAGCTGACTCGATAGTGTCTCTAGCTGTTGAGTAACTGGATGGAGTTGAAGCGGTAGTTTAAGTATTTACCTAGTCTGGGAACAACTTCCCCCATACATGTTAGGTAGAAGCAGACAGCGCTGTGTAGTAAGACTCTGTCCAAAAAAGCCAAACAAACAATATCTTGTACACCAAGCGGAGGAATTTATTTAAGGACTTTATCATCACGTGATCTAGTGACTAACCTGGTAATATTGTATAATGCTTGAATTCTGTAGGCTTTCTTACTATGTAAGTTTAAAACATGTTAGCTTTAGGAAATCTAGGCCCGTACTTTTTCTAGAAATTAGAGGACAGGGTGACTTCTTATGTAAAGAAATACTTAGAAGTAGTTTTAAATGGCTTGCTGTTTATATTGGGCTTCATGTTCCTGTTAGCATTTCACTAATATTTCAGGTGTACAGGATTTGGAAAATTCTCTTTTACTGAATGTGTATAAAAAACAACAAGGTTTTTCTTCTTAACAGTCTCATTAAACTTAAGCAGAAATGATAGGAATGCTTCACTCTGAGCTTTTTATCAAACTAAATTCATTATCCTGATCTGTTGGCACAGGCCTGCAATCTCAGTACTTGGGGGTTGAGGCAGGAGATTGAGGAGTTCAATCATCCTTACCTACATAGGGAGTCAAGGCCAGTCTGGGCCTTGGAACAGTTTCTCAGAAAAAGAAACAAAATAAACTTAGTTTATCCAGCAAGACAAATGAGTGCATTCATAGTCTCTAACGTGGATTTTGTGTGTAGTGTTTATAGTATTAAAGATACTTGAACCGTATTTTAATCAAATGCTTGCATAAGTCTTAATGATAACTTATTCTTTGTCTACCATATTGCTCACTATATTTTCTTATCAGTTAAAAAGTATAGTTTATAATTCCAAACATAAATTTATGGCTCATTTACCTGTTTTGTCACATAAAAAAGTTGTTTAATAGTCCAAAGACATTTTACTGTATCTCATAACTAATTGATTCTTTCTTCCTCCCTCAGGGAAATGAGGCGAGTTACCCGTTGGAAATGTGCTCACACTGTAAGTTGAATATAATCGCAACAACCATTTGTTTTTCTTATAAATGTGTGCTTATAAATGTGTGTGTGTGTGTGTGTGTGTGTGTGTGTGTGTGTTACATCTCTATGATGCTTACTTATTGATTTTGTATCAAATGTAGCCCACATTTAAAATGGAGAACACATGGATCAGATATTCTTTTCCTTACCAGAGTAGGGAATTTAAACAAAACAAAACAAAACAGATTTTATGATTAATATCTGCACAATGTTGTAATTACATGTTATAAACCCCCAAATCTCTATGACTTAAGTTCACAGAGGGTTCTTTGCAGTTTCAAAGTGAATTTCTTACCATGTTTTTTTTTTGTTCTGTTTTTTTTTTTTTTCCTGTTTGTTGATCGAAAGATCTGAACTCCTTTGTTTTATAATGTTAATAGCTGTACCCAGTATTCCCAAAATTCTTTGGGAAATAGAATTACAACAACATGAAAGCTGGTATTTTGTGGGTTAGCACTTGTCATATAGCCCAGTTTGCTATCACATGGACTGGAAAGTAGATCCTTCTGTACGTTCAGGAAGAAGAAACAGATGTGTTCAGTTGGTATTTTGCAGTTTTTTTTAGATCCGGATGAAATGGGGTGGGTAACTGAATGAAAGGCAGTTGTCAAAGGCTTCTTCAGATACTGTAAATGTTTCTTAAAAGTTTGAGGCTTTTTAAAATCTTTAATTGTATTTTACTTATTTCGACATGGGTGGGTGGGGTGGAAGGTATGTGTGTGCCACAGTGTCATATGGAGATCAGAGGGCAATTTGGGGGTTTGGTTTTTCTCTTTGCACCATACTGGTCCAAAGAATCCAACTGGAGGTATGTTATCAGGTGTGGCAGCATGCACCTTTACCTGCTAAGCAATTTTTGCCAGCTCCTCATTCGTTCGTTCATTCATTCATTCATTCATTCATTCATTCATTCATTCATTCATTCATCTATTCATTCATCAATTCATTCATTTATGAGATAGGTTCTCACTGTGCAGCCCTGTGTGTGTGTGTGTGTGTGTGTGTGTCTGTCTGTCTGTCTGTCTATCTATCTATCTATCATTCAATCAATCATCTAGACAGGCTCTCACAATGTGGCCTTACCCATTTTTTTTTTGCTTATTTATTCAGCATGCTGTCACTGTGCAGCCTTAAATTTATTTACTTATTTATTTATGAATGATACAGATTCTCGCTGTGTAGCTCTACTTAATTAATTGTTTGTTTGTTTGTGGGACAAGTCCTCACTGTGTAGCCCTATTTACTATTTGTTTGTTTGTTTAATTAATGGGGCAGGTTCTCCTGTGTATCCCTATACACACATACATTCATTCATTCATTCATTCATTCATTCATTCATTCATTCATGGGACAGGTTTATTATCCCTTTATTACATTTCATATCAGGCTTTTCTTTAAACTTTTTATCTCCTTGAGATCTGTACTTAGCTTCATTACACTTCCTGGTGCTCTTTTTTCCCCTCAAACTATATTTTATATTTCTCTTTGCTCAGCTTATTCTTCATTGTAGAACTGCATAAGAGTGAACACTAATAACCACATGATAGAGTCAATACTAGGCTATCTAGAAATCTCCTCCTCTAATAGCGTTAATCCAAAACTCTTCAATTTAACCTCAGGTAGATTTTTTTTTTTCCAGATAAGGGCAGAAAGCAGCCATTCTTGGCCAAAATATCACAAGAATGGTCTCTAGGCTGGTAATATTCTTCCCCTCTAAAACTTCTTGAGCTGGACCCTCACAGTTCAAATCCCCCTTGGCACTGTCTTCCATGCTTCTACTAAGATGGCCCATTAAGACCAGTTTAACATGTTCATCTGCTTTCCTAATCCAAAGTCCCAAAGTCCACATTCTGCCACCAAGCAGCATGGTCAGGCCTGTCAACAGCAATCCCCACTCCCTGGTACCAACTTCTTAGTGTTGTGTTGATGTGAAGAGACACCATGACCATGACAACTCCTATAAAAACAAATTAACTGTGGCTTACAGTTTCAGAGGTTTAGATCCATTATCATGGTGGGGAGCGTGGAGACATGCAAGCTGGCTTGTTGCTGGGTTAGTAGCTGAGTGTTCTAATCCAGATCCACAGTCAGCAGGAAGAAAAGAGCCTCTGGGCCTGGCTTGGGTTTCTGAAACCTCACAGCCCATCACCCAGTGAAACACTTTGTCCAGCAAGGCCATACCTCCTTATCCTTTCAAATAGTGTCATTCACAGTGACCAAGCATTCAAATCTGTAAGCCTTTGGGGCTGTTCCTATTCAAACTGCCATGTCATGCCTGGCAATTGTAGTGCTATTGTTGTGTGTATGAGTAAATGGTGTGCGTGTGTGGAAGTTAGAAGACAACCCTGGAGGCAGTTCCCTCCTATCTTTATGTGAGTTCCAGGGGTTGAGCTCAGGTCTCCTCGAGCCCCTTTACCCTCTGAGCCATTTCGCCAGCCCAGTTTTATATACATGTTAGAGGAAGGGCTGGGTGTTAATTTAGACTAGGAATTGGTTTACTGGAACAATATGTTGTAGCAAGAGTTTTGAAAACACTTAGGTCACTTCTGTCTGGCCACAGTGCTGGCGGTGACCCAAATAGGCTGCTCTGTGGAGGCTCTGTTCATGTGGATGGCCTTTAAGATACTTGAGAGTTGGCCACCACGGTTTCTTAGTGTATTGTAATTGCTGTTAATCCTTGGGGGTTAGAAATTAAATCTTCAAAAATATTTGATATGTAGACTAACACTTATTTTCCTTACTATTTCATTGATAATGTAAGATTTAGGAATAAAAGCCATGTGACTCATGGGCTTGGTCGTACTGGTTTCTTTTTCTTTTTTTTTTTTTTTTTTTTTTTTTGGTTTTT